GGAAGGATACTGCAAAATCTCCATTCCCACCCATTCCAGGGGAAGGAAACTGCAAAATCCCCATTCCCACCCCACTCCAGGGGAAGGAAACTGCAAAATCTCCAATCCCAACCCATTCCAGGGGAAGGAAACTGCAAAATCCCGATTCCCAACCCACTCCAGGGGAAGGAAACTGCAAAATTTCCATTCCCACCCACTCCAGGGGAAGGAAACTGCAAAATCTCCATTCCCACCCCACTCCAGGGGAAGGAAACTGCAAAATCCCAATCCCAATACATTCCAGGGGAAGGAAACTGCAAAATCCCCATTCCCACATCACTCCAGGGGAAGGAAACTGCAAAATCTCCAATCCCAACCCATTCCAGGGGAAGGAAACTGCAAAATCTCCATTCCCAACCCACTTCAGGGGAAGTATACTGCAAAATCTCCATTCCCATCCCACTCGGGGGCCAGCCAGAGGTGGCATTTGCCGGTTCTCTGAACTACTCAAATTTTCCACTACTGGTTCTCCAGAACCTGTCAGAACCTGCTGGATTTCACCCCTGCATAACATGCCAGTAGAGTTCAGCTCTACCCCTCACAAAAGCAAGGGCTTTCATTCTTAACATTAAAGACCTTTTTATCTGAAAGCGAAATACATTTCTGGTGCATATTGAGATACTGTACACCTCTGTTTGCCATAAAATCTTGAATCTCGATCCCAATGCTGAATATCAGAAAGAATTGATAAAGGGGGACAGAGCTTTAAATTTTAGTTTGCCAGTCCATTATGGTAGCCTACAATTGTAATAACCATTTCACAATGGGAATTGTGTAGCACGCTTTTACATTTTCAGGATATTATGGGGCAGGGAATCAAGATGGCAGCCATGGCCACAGGATTGAGACTGCCATTTTGACTTTTTATTATCTTGCTATAGAGAACCTGATATAATAGTCACTCTGTGAGGGAGACTGATGGTTTGTAAATGTGATATATATATATATAACAATTGTCTACTCAAGGCCCAGTAGGAATAACTTCCAGGACAATAGGTATAAAATTGCCGCCTTTCCAGGTGATGATCTCTACAAACTGGAATCATGGATTAAAGAAAATATAACAAATATGTTTAATGCATGGCCCATTTGGGAAGGGAGCAGATACATTCTTAACTAGGCCCCAGATCATCAAAGTTGAGAAGCCATTCCTTGATTTATTGGGTTGATTTCAACATGTTGTCTGAACCCTGTCGCTGGAGCTTACGAAGATGGTCTGGGGCTATATAAGCTTGGTGAATTGTGATGTATTTAATGAACTATGGTTAAGCCATGGCTTAGCAAGATGTACGAATCTATTTCAGTGTGAAAATGGAATCGCCCCTGTTAGTTAGAGGCAGCTGGGCCAATATACAGAATCCATATCTGTTGCAAAAAGAACGACAGTCAAGATGGCAGCCACCATAGAAGCATAGCTATTAGAAGCCATTACTTATCATGAAAAGCCAAAGCCAGTAGCTTTGTGGTTTGCCACACACATTACAAGCATCTCCCAAGACTGCTCACATTTCCAGGAACGACCAGATAAAGATTCAAAGATTGGGGGGGGGGGGGGAGATCAAACTTGCACACTTGCAGCTGTGAAAGGATTCCAAGCTAAGCTCTCCCTTGACCCCTCCTTCCAAATTAACAGGCAATTTTCCAACACTTGTCCTCTTCTTTACACGCATCGTGCATGTAAAACACATTTAAAAGGGGGGGGGGCTTCAAACTTGTCCTAACAGCCATCTTGACATTTTTTGCACACACACGGACACACCCACAGAGACACACAGACCTCTCAATGACACCATGCATAACTATGTAGAACATAGATCTTGGGTCTTCAAACTTAGCAAGTTTAAGACTTGTTGACTTCATTTCTGGCTGAGGAACTCTGGGAGTTGGAAGTCCACAAGTCTTAAAGTTGCCAGGTTTGAAGGCCCTTGCCCTAGATCATTTGGAAAGATTAGGATCTGGGTTCAAATCTACCACTGCATCTTCTGCATCTTACAGGAGATGGAAAGTGCCTTCCATACTCTGCCGAAAGCCTGGGACAATTTTTTTGCATTCGGGCAAAGCTCAAGCAGTGCAATTGGGGCTTTTCAGCTTTAATTTCTAGAGAGGCGAGTAAGTTGCAGACTCGAAAGGATTGAATACTGTCTTAACAAATAGATCATTCATTTGTGATTAATCTTACCCGCCTCCTTGCCTGTGTAAAATGTATATAAATAATGAAATAAGACTTTTGTACATTTTTTTTTCTGTTTAGGAATAAATGCTTGTACAGTTGGCATCAGTATAGTTTTTAAAAAGCCAAAGGATATTTGTATATGGAAAGAAGCTTCTATCAATGCATTTAATTTATTTCTAATGCATATGTTAATTAATTTCTGCGTTTTAGTCCTCTTAAAACACACAGCAATTTTTATATTAATTTTGAAAATTTATATATCTACATATCTCTCTATATATAAATATATCTGCCTTCCAAAGTAAATGTGTATGTCCCAGATCACAAACAAGGATATTTTCACTACTAATATATAAGCTTGTCTGATTTGTTTGTTTCTCGCCTTTAATTAAGGACGCTTCCCCCCCCCCCACTGCATATTATTGTGTACAAGGTTATGTTTTTGAGAAAAAAAAGCATAGCATGAAGTTTAGGATTCTTGTTTATTTTCTAGTAATCATAAAAAAAATATTTGTGACGAAATCACTGCAGCCTGCAGTTGTTAAAAAAAGGAATGTGGACATATATTTTGTGTGTGTGTGTTTCTGAATTAATTCCAAGCTACCTAATTCATGCTTCCTGGGCATATACTGGTAGTCCTTGACTTATGACCACATGAATTGAAATTTCTGTTGCTATGCAAGACAATCATTAAGTGAGTTTTTTCACCGTTTTATGACTTTTCTTGCCCCAGTTAAGTGAATCACTGCAGGAGTTAAGTTAGTAGCATGGTCCTTAAGTGAAATTTCCTGTTAACTACTCAGAAGGTCGCAAAAGGTGATCGCAGAACTCTGGAACATTGCAAACATAAATACATGCCAATTCCCAAGTGTCCGAATTTTAATCACGTGACCATTGTGATGCTGCAGTGGTCATAACCAGTGATAGTATTCTGTTCTGTTCCCCACACGTCCCACACCAACACACACTCNGGGAACAACTAGCTCGCATGTCCAAGGGGGGAAACTTTTACCTTTACTACGTGTTTTGTGCCCTGTTGTTGGTCATGTATTGAGTTTTCATATTTATCCTCTTTTCTGCAGGCCCTGAAGCCCTCCAACCACGCAACCATTCAGAGCATCGTGAGAGCCGTAGGGGTTGTCGCTGGGATCCCGGAGCCTTGCTGCGTCCCGGACAAAATGTCCTCCCTCAGCATTTTATTCTTCGATGAAAACAAAAACGTGGTACTCAAAGTGTATCCAAACATGACAGTGGAATCCTGTGCCTGCAGATAACGTTCCTGCTTCCTCCTTCCTCTTCCCGGCTTCGTTGCTTCATACACCTCTCCTCTTTCCCTTTACCAAAGCATATCGTTGCCCAGTTTTACGAACGGAGAAGTAAAGAAGAGCTGAGAAGGAACATGGAATCAGTTTCCCCAAAAGTGATTTTCCTACTGTGAGCCTGGGGAAGGACATTTGGAAAGCTCACCACACAGGGGTAAATAATGGAGGAGGTCTCCGTGATGGTGGTGGTGGTGGAAAGATAGGAAAATGAAAACTGGAGAGAATTCCATCAGGAGCGGAAGATGAGCAGGAAAACACGATCTAAGTTTGATGCTGTGTTTGAAGAGCGTTCAACTCGAGCTGCTGGTTTCCCCAATCCATTCTTCCAGAATGTAACGGTGAAGGAGATTTAATATACATATTGTGCTTTTGAAGCTAAGCTTTCTACTATAGGTGATAAAAAAGACTCCAATCATACCATAAGCTAGTGAGATCCTACTTCCCATATTTCAAAGATTCAAATAGTCTCTTTTTTTTAATCTAACCTGTTGGTTTTCCTGGCATAACATCAGTGGTGAAATTCAATTTTTTTTACTACCGGTTCTGTGGGCGTGGCTTGGTGGAGGTGGCAGGGGGAGGATACTGCAAAATCCCCATTCCCTCCCCACTCCAGGGGAAGGATACTGCAAAATCCCCATTCCCTCCCCACTCCAGGGGAAGGATACTGCAAAATCCCCATTCCCTCCCCACTCCAGGGGAAGGATACTGCAATATCCCCATTCCCTCCCCACTCCAGGGGAAGGATACTGCAAAATCCCCATTCCCTCCCCACTCCAGGGGAAGGATACTGCAAAATCCCCATTCCCTCCCCACTCCAGGGGAAGGATACTGCANAGAGAGAGAGAGAAAGAAAGAGACAGAAAGACAGACAAAGAGACAGAGAGGGGGGGGAGAGAGAGAGAGAAAGAGAGAGAAATAGAGAGAGACAGAGAAAGAGAGAGAGAGAGAGAAAGGAAGACAGCGAGAGAGAGAGAGAGAAAGAGAGAGAGAGAAAGAGAGAGAAACAGAGAGAGAGAGAGAGAGAGAGAGAGAGAGAGAAAGAAAGAGACAGAAAGACAGACAAAGAGACAGAGAGGGGGGGGAGAGAGAGAGAGAAAGAGAGAGAAATAGAGAGAGACAGAGAAAGAGAGAGAGAGAGAGAAAGGAAGACAGCGAAAGAGAGAGAGAGAAAGAGAGAGAGAGAAAGAGAGAGAAACAGAAAGAGAGAGAGAGGAAGACAGAGAAAGTGAGAGAAAAAGAGAGACAGAAAGACAGAGAAAAAGACAGAGAGAGGGGGAGACAGAGAGAGAGAGAGAGAGAGAGAGACAGAGACAGAGACACACAGAGAGAGAGAGAGAGAGAGAGAGACAGAGACAGAGACACACAGAGAGAGAGAGAAAGAAAGAAAGAGACAGAGACAGAGACTACCTCGATCTCACCCACCTGCCTGGCTGGGGAGCAAGCCTGGCACCCACAGCAGAGCGCAGAGCAGCGCCGCCCGGAGCTCCCAGAAGCGGGCCGGGGCGGGCATGGCTGGGACTTCTCCGGCGGGCCAAGCCAAAGCGGCAGCGACTCGAGCGGTGCTTTTTCCAGTCACTTTGGAAACGAGGCTCGCCTGGAAAGCGCTCGGCAGAGGGGGAAGCGCCGGTGGCGGGGCGACGAACAAGCACATGCGCGCAGGGCGGAAAAAAGAAGGGAAAAAAAAGCAAAGCTGGGGGTGGGGCAGGCAGGTGAGTCGGCTGGGCGGGGCAGGGGGCTCCTCCCCTGCTTCCTGCCCCCTCCTGCCCTCTCGGAAAAAGGAGAAGCGCTCGGTGGCGCTCGGTGCCAGGAATTGAGCTGGGATGCCCGGTTCGGAGTTTAACCTGTTGGGTTATAACTCCCACATGCCTCACATAGCTGGAGGATCGGGGCAAGAGCTGGGGCACATCATTTAGACCAGTGTATGGAGAGTCTCAGCCATCCAGGTCATTTGCCTCCTAAAGGTGCTTTTTCAGGAGGCAATAGGACTTTCTGGTTTTTCTTTTAAGACGTTTCGCTTCTCATCCAAGAAGCTTCTTCAGCTCTGCTGGGATGGCGGAGAATGAAGGATTTATACTCCCAGAGCTGAAGAAGTTTCTTGGATGAGAAAAGCCTTCAAAGAAAAGCCAGAAAGTCCAGTTGCCTCTTGGGGGGGGAAAAAAACACCTTTGGGATTTAGACCAGGGGTTCCCAACCTTTTGGGCATCAGGGACCAGTTGCATGGAGAGAGGCTTTTGCGTGGACCGGAAGAGTCGTAAAATGGGGGCAAAACTCACTTAATGCATTTCTCACTAAGCAATCTAAATTCTGGGCCCCATTGTGGTTGTAAGTTGAGGACTACCTGTCCTACCCATAGGAGTGAGAAGGGATTTTTCCAAAAAACAGACCTGGTTTGGTTCATTGGCAGCACTCTTACCAATAGACGGCAAAGGTTATCACCCTTTAGGTCAGCAGTCACCAACTGGTGGTCCGTGAAAATTCTTTGGTGGTCTGCAAAAAAAATTATTTGCATTTTTTATATTGCATTAAATCAGGGGTCCTCAAACTATGGCCCCTGGCCCTGATACGTGCAATGAACGTTTGTGTTGCTGCAGAGAGTAACTTCTTTTGGATCCTTTTGTGTGGGTTGGAGGGGGGGCAGAAATTCCGACTTGGGGTCAGCTTCAACCTCCTGGTGTGGGGCTTTGGACGAAGGCTGGAGGGAAGCACCGCTGGTGGCGAAGAGCCGGAGGACCTCGTTCCAGTGGGACTGCATCATGGCCTGGAACTGGCTGACCATCTCAGCCCGCTGAGCCTCTAGGCGCCGGTACTTGGCCTTGAACTCCTGCAGGTCTCCCCTCTGCTTGGAAAGCCTATGCTCGTAGTCCTCAGTGAGGTGCTTCTGCTGAGCCTCCTTCTCGGTCAGATCCAATTTGAACTGAGCTGTTTTGCCAACTCTTTTCTCATGATGGCTGCTTAGCTCCAACAACTGCTTCCTATTGGGGCCCTAAGGAGCCCGGGTGGGCAGACGAGGAGTGGCTGGGAGGGGAGGG